AAATTCGTCGATTCATAGTTCCAGGATTGGCCGATTTCCACGAAAATTGGCAAACACATGTAGAACTATATTTCCAACCTTAAATATGAAAACTAGGCAGACAAAGTAACCCAAAGATGAATTTTTAGGGTATTATGTGCTTAAAAAATAAGATTTTTTACCTCAAATATATGTTTTTCTAATATTTTGTACAAAGTTTGTTATAATTTCAAATTTATTTTTTCACCATTAGATTCAACACAAAAACCCTAAAAATTTAGTATATTGAATCTTTGTTCTGCTTCAATTTGTTACAGAGATATTGAAAGTAATAACTTTAGTATGTTTTCTTGCCGAGATAGCTCAATGTTAATCTTATGGAGAATAAGCATAAATATTAATATTATTTTTCATTAAACCTATATAGATAAGACTTTTTGTTCTGCTTCATATTATCTGTTCTAATATTTTTTTTACCAAACATTCCTTTTTTTGGCAGTTACCATTGCAGCAAACCTACGTATTCGGTTCCTCAGTTTTAATCATAAAGAGAATAAGCAAAAATAAAAAAGCAAAAAACAATACAAGAAAACGTTTTATGGTTTTATATTGTAGTTTTGGGTGTGCAGAGTCGGATTTTCCCAATATTGGACAAATTTTGAAAAAAAGATAAGAATTTTATAATGCACAATTTGGGACCAACATCGATATTTATTGGGTGGTCAGTACTTCATTTCGATGGGAAACGTATTTTGGCCGCCATTTTGGATCCACCTTATTGGATATAATTTTTTGTTGTTGTAACTTGTAACGACAGTGTTGTGACACATTATTACTATATAAACTAGATTTTCACGCATATTCCATCGCCGAAATCCGTTTTTAAATACATTTTTTGTTTTAAACGTTTTGTACTTTAAAATTTTTTACGATTATTTTCCTTATCTTCAGTTAGTAGTTCATTCTTAAATAATTAATGATGTAAGGGCTTTCATTTGAGTTATTGATCATTAAAATTGGACGAGTTAGAGACGAGCTACCAATCCCAACAAAATATTAAATTTAACTTTTTATAAATCAGTTTTTATTAAATGATTTATATCTCGGGTTCTTAATACGTCACCAAGTTCTTTCTGGTCTCAAATTACTCAGTAGAGAATTAGGTTTTTTATTTTATTAGTCACTAAATAATATCTGACTAATTAATAAAAAATGAGTCATGCACCTTAATTTAATATTAAATTATTTGCATTTGAAATTTGTCTTTAGTTAAGTACAAATATCCCCAATTCTAATAACTCCCAATAAATAATCCATAACTACAGTAAAAGTCAATACTTTGATGAATCTTTTAAGATTATAAAGAGTATTCCGAGTTATTACTTGATTTGGGGGTATGTCTTAAGCTAAAGACAAATCTCGAAAAAAAAATATTGTTAAATAAGACAGACCCATATTAAATTTGTCACGTTTTATTTAGTGATTAAAAAAAATTACCCAAACATGTACTGAGTAATATGAAACCAGAAAGAACTTGGTGGCGTATTAAGAACCCGAGATATAAATATTTTAATAAAAATTTATTTCTAAAAAGTGGAATTTAATATTTTGTTGGGGTTGGTAACTAGTCTCTAACTCGTCAGATTTTAATGATCAATAGCTCAAATGAAAGCACTTACATCTAAATGTTTAAGGCTAGAACGAACTGCAAGCGTTAATATGTACTGGAGATATAAAAAAAAAAAAAATCTTAAAAAATGTTCAAAATACGTAACGTCCTTAAGAAATGTATGCAAGAGAATTTTCGTTTGAATATATCTTTAAAACGAAAAAAAGATATTTAAAAACTCATTTTGGCAATGGAATGGGCGTGAAAATCTAGTTTAAAATAATGTGTCACAACATTGCCATTACATTAAAAAAAATTATTTATATCCAATATGGCCGATCCAAGATGACGGCCAAAAACACGTTACCTATTGAAATGACACTCTCATTACATAAAAAAAATATTTATATCCAATAGGGGGATCCAAAATGGCAGCCGAAAACACGTTCCCTATCGAAATTAAGAAATGACCACCCAATAAATATCAGTGTGGTCTGAAGTCAATATTAATGAAAATGCATGTGGATTTTTTTTTACATTTTTCCAATGCTGAAAAAATTTGTCATATTAAATCTTGATTCTAGGGGTTTTCCAGTAGACCGATTTTTGGCAATTTTTACTATGTTACTCATACCCAACATAAAACCATAAAACGTTTTCTTGAAATTTTTTAAGGTAATATTCTATACTTCTCGGACAAATAAAAAAATTGATTTTTGCTTATTCTCTTTATGATTAAAACTGAGGAACCGAATACGTAGGTTTGCTGCAATGGTAACTGCCAAAAAAACAATTTTTTGTAAAAAAAATATTAAAACAGATAATATGAAGCTGAACAAAAAGACTTATCTATATAGGTTTAATGAAAAATAATATTAATATTTATGCTTATTCTCCATAAGATTAACATTGAGCTATCTCGGCAAGAAAACATACTAAAGTTATTACTTTCAATATCTCTGATCAATACAATATACTACAGAACAAAGATTCAATATACTAAATTTTTAGGGTTTTTTTGTTGAATCTAATGGTGAAAAAATAAATTTGAAATTATAACAAACTTTGTACAAAATATTAGAAAAACATATATTTGAGGTAAAAAATCTTATTTTTTAAGCACATAATACCCTAAAAATTCATCTTTGGGTTACTTTGTCTGCCTAGATTTCATATTTAAGGTTGGAAATATAGTTCTACATGTGTTTGCCAATTTTCGTGGAAATCGGCCAATCCTGGAACTATGAATCGACGAATTTGCAGTCATCTTGTCGATTTGAGGGCCTCACGGCGGCCATCTTGGAAAAACCCGACTTCCCGTTGTCCGATTTTGGTAGACTTTTTTCCTGGTACTTTCTACACCTATTACTACCAAAAACCGTCGAAAAACCATTTGTTGGAATTTGTTCTATCTCAAGTGCCTATATTTACTCGACTATGTGTGTAAGCAGTCGTTTTAGTAATTGAGTTTTATACTAAGCAAATATTCAAGGCCAACATTATAAGCCAAGGATAAAACAAAGCCTGAAGTTTTAATGATGCTAGGATAACATGGTAACCTCATTAATATAGTGTATTAAAATTTGTTCTTTGATTTTATTATTTCTTTATTAGAAATACTATTTTTGTTTAGTGTAAAGTTATTGTGTTTCTTGTGCCGGATTAGAACATAGAATAATTATTAATATAGGAAGGAGCTAGTACTTTAGTTCAAAAAGTTCTGTGTCATGTTTATATGCATAATTCTAGTAATTCATTCTCATGAAACAAAAGGTCCTGGGTATCTAAATGCATACTACTAGATCAATATTTTTTAAATCCACACAAAACATCTAAAAAATAGCGCTTACCCACCGCTTTAATTGGTTACACACCTATAAGGTTACCTATTGTGCTAAAATTTAGAAAACTCTAACTTATTTCAAGTAAAAGCATTTAAATGGTTAGCAATTATACTCATTAAGTTTAATTATTGAACAAGTTTTTTTTTCATACATGTAATTTGGAATTGATAGTGATGCTATAAAAAAATTAAGGGGCTATCTGTATGACGCGAAAAGAAATTTTTAGCTATATTTTTTACAACACTAAATTGTGTGGGTAGCCGATTGTTTCTTAAGTGCTCACTTCTTGATTTAAAAGTTGCTAGTTTAATCCCGAATCAGGACTATTCTGGCACGGTCAACTTTAACTCCAGGCCGCGGCCTGATAGAATTGGCAACGTCGCAAGTAGTGTTGTTTAGTGCCAGACGTCCCATAAGATAACATGACAGGCAGGTGACATCATCTCATTAATTCAAAATTCAAATTTATGAACATAAATTATCATTAAAATATCAAAAATAAAACATACGGAATTGAAAATCTATATCTGTACATTTAAATCAATATTTTCATAGACCAGTAACCAAGGTTTCGTAAATACACAAATACCATTAGCTGCTTCCAAACAAAACAGCTGTTACAACCCTACTTGCGACGTTGCCACTTTGAAGGCCGCGGCCTAGAGTTAAAGTGGCCTTGATTCTGGACAGGGCCATAAGAGCCCGTTGGGTGCAAGCTCAGGGACGCAAGTGGTTTTAGTTTTGTTTGGGGGTGTGAGGACAAAATTCCCCGCTAATAAAGGGACATAGAGGAGACGTCAATATGTCCCCGACCCATAGCACTTCACGAGCAAACCGTGGCCTGATTATAAACCCAGGTGCCATTTTGTCCTCAACAGTCTATCGACCAACGAGATACTTCCTAAGTATACAGGATAATTAATTGTCAGCAATAAGTAGAAAGCAAATCAAAACATTACTCCAAAACAGAAGGACTTTCGTGAGGTGTATATTGTGTCTATTCTGTTAAGTTAGTATAAGACTCAAATTTACCTCACCAGCTATCCTGAACTTACTGTAACCTTAATTCAAAGACGATCACGCAGGTGGGGCTGATGCAACCTTGCTATTCATAAGGCCCGGAACCAAAGGAAACCCACACCCAGAAGTGTTTTTATTTTTTTATTGTAGGATATTTTGATGCGGATCATTGATTGTTAACTAATTAATTGTCATATGCCATATATGTCATTGTGCTACCAATTAAGTATGCTATCTAAGAAAAGGTTGATGTTAGATAGTAAAATGGCCAGCGTTAGCTACCAAATAGTGTAACCATGTAATTGTACAACAAATAGTTGTAACCACATTCTAGTCTGCTGACTGAAATGTTGATTTGACACAATGTTAGAGTTCTTAACAAGTAATAAAGGAAGACATATGCATAATTTTAGATTGTTGATTTTAGTTATCTTTGTTTGGTTTAGGTCTGTAATAAATTTATTTTGTATGGTATTAACTAATGAGAAATAAAAGTTATTATCAATTTAACCCAAATTAAAAGTTTCTAACGTAGTGTGATGTGACAGGCGGCCCAGGGGGCAGTGCGCCTGGAGGGGGACGTGATCACTGCCAACGGGTCCATTCTCAGCGGGCAGATAGGAGAGTCGAGCTCCCTGGACGAGACAGCGTCCGTGTGCAGTTGCAGCTGCGGGTGGCAGGGTCGTCAACACCACTACTCGGTGCGACGGTCGTCGACGCGGCACCAACAAGAGCTGCGACACCAACAGCCGCTGCTGCCACTGGCACCGCTGCGACCCCTCCCCCCCGCCAGCAGACTACACCGTGCCTCCATCTGACTGGCCATACACTCTCGTCGACTCAGTAATTTAGGTTAGGTCGGATGAACTTTTTAAAATAATAATAATAATTAACTAATAATATTTTTGACGCTTTATACTATTCTAATAAGTTGGTGGCGGTTTGGTGTCGAGTGCCGGGGTGGTGTGTGTTATGGTGTTGGCCGGTCGCGATCCGTCCACGCAAACATGGACCAATTAAAAGACAATAGTTTTAATTAACAAGGTTGTGAGTTAGCTGTGTCGATTAGTTTCGTTAAGAAACATCATTTTTTGTTCATCTCGTGTTTAAAGTTTGGTTTTCAATTTTAGTGGCAAAGGGATAAAAAGGTAATGTAGGATGTGAGATTTTCATTTTAACTAGAAGATTTACAATTTTATTTCTAACAATCTGTTCTTATACTAAATCATAGAAACAGCAATACAAATGAATTGTAAGGATGAATATTAATCAAAAACGTTTCCATATACAATTTGTTTTCATGACCTTTGGACATTTATTTAATAAACCAATATAATTGATTAGTAAACAAATTTAACCTTACCACAATCAAACAGCTATTGGCAACCTGTAAAAAAAACAAGTGTGAAAGAAAGAGGTGTTAAGAATTAATAGTTTAACCTAACATTCACTTAGCTAAACATTAAACCATAATTTTTAAAATAACAATTAGGAAGTTTTTAATAAATCAATGTGAATCCTGATGTAATTTTACTACATAAGGGACAAAATATTGCTTGTGTTATGTGCTGGTGACTTGCAGGCAGAGGCCGCACCATAGCATGCACTGGAACCACCTGCACAATTGCGTAACTTTGATCTTATTCAGTTTACAATTCTAGGCAATACGATAGGCCTTAATGCTTAGTGTGTATAATTTGATTGTGTATTGATATTTTTTTAATTTTGATCGCAAACTTATATCGAACTATGTGCAACATTCCGTTTTTACTATTGTTCATAACGAATAAATAAACTTAAATAAAACCGTGTAAATACAATGTACAAATTGAAAATATTACCAAAATGTGAATTCTATTTTGTTAACGTATGAAATGTTTGTTGTTAAGATTTTTATGTGAGCGAGTGTTTACGTTTGATTCCGTTTCGACCTTATCTCCTCTGCGACCCACTCAGACTTTCTAAACAAATCTATCGGTGGACCACACATAAGTCGATTTTTCTACGTGAATTGTGCAAATAATTTAGGTCGTACCGCTTTAGATGTAATTACGTGTCGGTTAGAGTGGTGTTCCTAAATTAACTTGGTTGTAAAATGGTTGCCTTTCGCATGCATATGTTACTCTGTGGACTGATAACAGCTTTTCTTCATGTATTTTTCAAGTTATGTGACAACCGCATACGTATTCATCCTCCATCGAAACACAACTTGAGTTTCTGTAGATGAAATGCCACGAGACTTCCACAGTGAACTTCCATTCGTTTTTCAAGTTATCACTAGTATTTAACTGATATGAGAAAAACAAGCCAAATTTAATGTTCTTCCTTTATAAAAGCGCTATAATCATGTATGGTATGGACTTTGATACTAGCATTTTTGAATTGTTAGAAAGATGTGCAGTGTATAATTCCTCAACATTACACATATTTTGATTTTCACACATATCAAGTGTGTATTGCACGATTGCTCTGACTGCTTGGCAAGATAAACAATAGAGAAGAGTTGTACTTGAAAAACATTTTCAAATACTCATAATTTTAAATTTTTTATTTCTTTAGAAGTACGCAAATCCAACCGAATAATTTATCGTGATAAGGTTGAGGAACTATAATGTATTGGATTTTATTAAAGAGTCTAATTCAAGTTCTATAGTTCGGCCGCTTAGAAAGCGACCTCCTCCAGCATTGGTTTAGCATTTAGCGCGCAGGTCATTTTCTAAGCGGCCGAACTATAGCTGCTTTTCAAAATTGTATCAGTCATATTGTAGGCAGATTTACACTATTTGTTTCTAGATTTGTTTTTACTTTAACTTTATCACAGATTTTATTGCAATGTTGAGTTATGTATCAAAATTTTGTCTTGGAATGTTAGTGAAGTGTTGTTAATGTACATTCAGATGATTATAGTGAGTAGATTTGACTAATTTAAATCACTGTCAGAACTAACATTTCCAGTTAAATATCACCACTTAAACTCTATGCAATTAAAAAACATAGACTGTACATATAAAAACAAGTGATAAATTAATTTTAAGCTATTATATGTACAATAAAAAAGAAACATATATAATCAACATTTCACTTTTGTTAGAACTTATGACGATTCAATAGCATTTTATTTATTCAGGTTTTTAGAATAGACCATAGTTCAACTTTGAAATAGTTTTAGAGAACACAAAATGTATTATTTTGCAGGGAACTCCCTATGTTTAACAAAGTTTTGGATGCATTTTTTCATCCAAAGAGTGATTTTGAATTGACTTTATCGATAGTAACAAATTGAGTTTTGTTTATCTAAAGTAAGATCAAGAACAAATGTGAAATGTATTTGAACTTAAAATAATTTTTGAGATCTTTGCTTAAAAGGCTTAGCATAGAAAAATGGAAATATACATTAACATATTTAATACTTAGAATATGATTTTCTTTGAAACATTCCTCATGAGCATTTAATGCAGATTTAAAAGCAAACTAAGTACTTTTCACTTAACCAAAGTACTTCATGATGGGAAGCTACACTTTTGTGTACAATTGTTGTGGAAATCGACCATGTTAGTCGAAGGAATCTAGTGATTTGAGAAAAAATCATTTACTTTGGTTACCATTCCTGTGATTTTTATTTGACTGTGTGTGTACTACTACTAAAGAGTGTTGAAACACATAATAGAATAACAATGTCTGATATCTTTGACTACTTTAAGACTTAAATAATTAATTGCTAACCTTTAAAGACATATCTGTTAACGCTAATTGAAAGCATCTGTTATGCAACCATGGTACAGAATTCCACTAACAGGTAATTACATAATTATTTATAAAAAATAAAGATTTTTAATATTTCTTATAGAATTCTGGCATATAATTGAATTCAATAATTGAAATAAAGCGGTTTTGTGGTTTGATAAACTGTTATTTTAATCAAAATTGTCAATTCTTTCCTGAACACAAAAGTTATCAGATAAGTAGGATATTTTTTTACAGAAAGTAAGTTAAAGTATTCTAAAAAAACTTATTTTTTATTTATTTAAACTTATTATTGAGGAATATTTAATTGAGTGGCTGTAGAAGCTCCCCAAAACTATTATTTTATGAAGGATTTTCTTGAAGAAGCCCTGAAACTTCTTTCAGTCCATTTTACAACCTAACAAAACTCTATACATTCCTCAAGCACAATACTGAAATAGTTCAGAAAATAAATTTCAATCATAAAGTTTATTGGTTGACTCACATTCCAACTAGTTTTCAAATTTCAAAATGAATTGCTGGTAATTTTATTTTTATTTCATTGGTAGAATATTATTTGATGTACTCTTTATATAGGTAAAACCAATGACAAAAAATTGATTGATTAATTATGGAATGACTGGAATGCTTTTGGCTTTTGCTGGTTATAAAAGAAAATAGTTCATGGAATTTCACTAAACTATTTAAATTCTGTGATAGTTGTACCATAGCTGACATATTCTAGGATGTACACTTTATCTTAACAAATTCAATAAAATGCAAGACTATTAAAATCATACTTCTGTACCCGAATTCAAGTTAAAGCAATCTAAACTCTCCTTTCCATTATGTTTTTATTTCTTCTCTAAAATATGATTTTTTTTATTCTATCCATGTGGTAAAAAAATTAATTTAAAGGAGTTAACAGTGTAACATAATGTTACAAGAATTACAGTAGGGCTGAAACAGAAATTTAAGAGAATTGTAAGAACTAAGTGTCTTTGAAGCAAAAATACTGAGTAAAAATGTTTGGTCACCTAGGTTAGGTTAGACAAGTTTCTTATGCTCAAATTACTTTTGATTAAATAGTAGTATAGCTTTTTGTTCAAGGTCAATAGCTCTAATCACAAATTCTAAATACTTCATCAAACCAATAATTTTGTGTACTTAACAGTGATGCACATTTCAAAATAATTCAACCTGTAGTATTGATATAGAAGGTTGTACAAAACTTGTCAAAGGAGCTATAAACAAAACCACAGCTTGTATTGTCTTTCAAAGATATTTGGTTTGTAAGTAAAACCAAATTTGTTGCATGTTATATAATATTTGATTATAACAGTTAATATACTACGTTAGATTTTTCATGATAAAATGCATAAATATCTACAAATTTTGATACCTTAAGGATTGTAGGTAGTGATTCGTATTTTGACTCGAGTAGCCGGCTTGGCATAGGATGTCAAACAGTCCGCTTCGCTAGTCAGCTTAAATACTTTTCAATAAATTGCAACTTTGTTTCGATAAAGCACTCTTCTTGCTATTTAATTTTATCATAAACTGTTAACTAACATCTTCCCACAAATTTGAAAACGGGTGAAATCGTAGTTGATAAAATTAATGGTGGATATGTATGTTTTGAATGAACTTAAAAGTTTTAAAATGTTCGACCAATAGGGATCTGACAAAATAAAGCTGTTCTTTTTTAACTTCAAAGATCTTTGGGTTTTATTAATACCTATTCCTAAAAAAGATCTAAGTACCGTACAGTAGCTAAGCTAAGTGTTATTCAGAAGGAATGATCCAAGATCTAGTTTATGAAGAGAACAAAAAAGCAAATGGTGATCGAAGAGCAACAGTGCACCACATTATAATGTGAAATGAAATCAGCTTAAAACTGGTAATATTTCGGGATGGATAGTCTTAAGCAAAGCACGATGCAGAATAGATTATAATGAATCAACATGCAGAAGTTCAATTTATGTAAGAAAATGTTTGTTTCATGACATCTAATTTAACAATGAAAATATAATCAGCTGTTTTAACTTGCTCTTAGTTTACTTTTCTTTGCTTCTAGTATTCCATTTAGCGACTACTAGTGTTTCTTTATAAAATATTTTTTATCAGCTTTTTCAACCAGTTAAGATATGTCAATAAAAATGAGACTTTTGCATCTTCGTAATGAATTGCTCTGAATATTCCTGTACTTGGATTCGCCTCACATATCAACATTGGTGCTTCTTTATTCCCCCACACACAATGAACAACTAGTTTAAGGCTTTGTTGATGCTTTTGTCTTTTAAGGAAGAAGTCAACTCAACACTGCTGGTAAGCTAAACTTAACTAAAAATTAGATGGGATCTAAAACCTATACATATAACATCACACTTCTTTAAACAAACATTTTATTGCTATCACAGTAATCTTTCGACATAATTACAAGAATATTACATTTTACATGATTTTGCATACATAATTACATATATTTCATTTTTTTACTGACACATTTAATGTGATGGAATAACTTGGCACAGTTTACTTTTAAAAACCTACAGTAAAACATAAACAAGACTAGACAACAATCAATTTAATCACTGTTATTTAACATGAGTAGGAAATATTAATACAAATATCACATAGCTTACAGTCATTTATAATGACAACTCAAAAACAAATTGGTAAACTAAATGGGCCTACTAAGCCATGGTTGTAGAAACACAAATGGTAAAATTAATACTCAATGATTAAATATTAGAACTTAGAACATACAATTTTCATCAATTTCAGTTTATTATAGTTTTAACTAAGGGATGGAAGTATGGAATGTACAGAAATGAAAATTGAAAGGGATACTAGCTGGAGAAAATAGATTTACAAGGGTTATTAAGGGAACAAGCAAAGTCTGGCCAAAGGCTAGTCCTCCAGACAACTTAACCTTCCGAAATGTTGACATCACAGCCGACCGCCAAGTGGATTGGGGAGAGGGGTCGCTTTAACTTTGGTAGCCTTGTCACCTGCAATATTTATGTTATTCATTCCCACTAAATTAGCATAATACTTAAAATTAAGATTCAAAGATTTATTATAACAAGAGACAAGACAGATTGCTTGTAGGCCTACAGTTGACGTCATACTTATCTAACAAGAAAGAAAGTTTTAAAGAAACTTGCTTGCCTATTAATATATAGATTAACAACTATTAACAACTTACTTTTTAATACAAATTGAGTCAACAGCTATACAATTTAGATTAGTACATAATATGCCATATACGCATATTTCTGCTTTTAAAGATTAAACTAACTTATTAAAATTATTACAACCTACTTGTACATAAAAAGTGTTTAAAGGCCCTTAACTAATTTGAATTCGAGCTGATTACTACTGATTCAAAAATACTATCAGTAAATTGTTTACGTTTGTGAGTTTTTCTGACAATCAAGTGTAAATTACTAAACTGATTGAACCACAATTTTGGCTTTTAAATCTAATTGTTGATTTGTACCTTTAAAACATTGCGGGCGACAAGGCTATTGAAGTTGAAGCGACCCCTCTCCCCATTCCACACAAAGAGATAGATAGCGGCTGTGAGTAAAAATTTCAGTAGGTTAAGTCATCTGGAGGATGAGCTGTTGGCGGGTCTTGCCATCGCACTGTTATTTAGAGTAAAACAATATAGTATAGTTAAGAATGAATATCAATAAAGTGGGGGTTAGGGAGATCCTGTGAGGGTGAGTGGAAAAGACAAGACTCAGAAGAGAGAATTCCTAGGAAAATGGAGTTTATGGTGATACAGGGAAAGACCCAAAGGACTTTGGATGGATAAGGGAAAGAGAGTTGCGGATAAGAGAAGAAACAAGATGGCAGATGGTGAAAAAATAGCAACTGTCTACTGCGGAAGGATACGAAAATAAGAAGTGCAAGTAAGTATGGACATTAAACATTCTTCAACATCAATTTAAAAAGGCTTTGGACTATTAAACATATTTACAACATATTTCTGGTGGACACTGGATGATGAAATAAAAAGATTAATGTGACATATCAAAATCACATTTAACGCTTACTCAGTTCTATTTACAATGTAGGTCACATTAAAACATGTTATAAGCAGACCTAATAAATCACTGATCAAGCGAAATTGATTCCTAATTAGAAACACTTACTGTATTTTAAATATCATCGTAGAATAGGATACAAAACATTATAACAAAACTATTTCTAGGCTAACACTTACACTATGCACACTATGTAAGAACCGCATGATTGTTTCTTACCACAGTGTTTTGGTTTTGATTGATTATATTATATATAAGCATACTCATCAGTGGTGTAGTTGTA